ATCACCTGGCATTATCAACTTTTCCAAAGAAGAAAAACTATAAATCCAAGTAGGGTTCCTGGAGATTTTGGAATTCTTAGAAGTCCAGATAATTACATAAACACATACTTTGAGTCTCTATTTCTGTGTTCCCAAGTAATGCTTATTTCCAGGAAGACTATGTAAAGCCAGACAGCAGGTTGCAGTTATGTATTGCCTGATGGTACTTGTGGTTATATTTGAAGAAGCTTAAAATAAGCTTTTGTCTGCTACCACAAGTATGAACTGATCTCAAGTAGTTTGGATGTCTCATAGGAAGAAAGACTTGTCCTTATTTACAGAAAAGTTATAGCTAAGGAACTGTGAATTGTTTGGCAGCTTTTGTTTCAGAGTGCAAGGAACAGCATGAGACATATAAACATGCATGTATGTATGAATGTACAAAAATTTGGAAGAGGTATAGGCTTTTCTCACCCAAAGTATTTATCACCAACAACTATAATCTTATCCTCAGTCAGCCACATTCTCCCATTTCAATATTCTTATTTCTATCCATTTGGCTACTTAGATCAGAATGCTAAACCTGTCAGGTTTTTTTTTTTTTTCATTTTTCATTTGTACTGATTAACTTGGAAGTGGGTAAAAGTTTTTCCTTTGCTTTGCATACACCTGATCAATTCTCATATGTCCTTACTGGCCAAAGATTTCATCTTTCCCTGGCTAATCCCTTTATAGCTTGTTCTGAAAACACGTTGCTCTTTCCTGTTTTGAAATTTAGGAGAGATATCTTTTCTGTTTAGCCTTCATGATGTTTCCAATTTCAGCTCATAGCTCCACGGATTTATTTTTTTTTTGCATCACTTAAATGAGCTTAATTAATTCCTTATGCTATATTGTGATCATATGTTTTCCAGTTCAAAATCTTGCTGGTACACATATCCTATTTAATTTTCTTATTTTATTGTGTATACTTTATATTACTAATTTCTGTTTCTATCAATCAGCTACATCTGGAAAGTGCCCTGGCTGACTAGATTGTCCTTCTTCATCTCTTATTTCCTACTACTCAATCCAATTTGTTGCAATATTGTCTATCTAGGGATACTATGTGCAAAACCTCCTAAACTAGACACTAAACTGGGCAGGAATTCTTCCGTATCATTTATTACCAGAGCAGAGTTATTAGCAGAGCAAGCGGGGCATCATTTGCTTTGATGAGATGCTATGGGCTGCAGAGACAATGTACTGCACTTTTTAATGCAAAGGAGCAATGAGCTTTGTTTCAACAAGGAAATTGGCACAATACAGAGCATCTCTTCTGGAACTCCCTCCCCTCAAATGGAAATATACCAGATGCCTATTTTTCCACTGAAGTGGCAGCCATGTCATATGATAAAAGCTGTTTCAAAAGAATGTTTCCACCACCTTCTAATCAGAGTTAAGAGCAACAGCAGTTACAACTTGCCATCATAAAAGGAATTATATTTGTGGCTGTTTTGTTACAGAAAATAAGGTAACTCTCCAATGTAAATTTATTTACTTATTTATCATATATTTACATTGCCCTATTTCCCAACATGTTAGGGTGATATACAATTAAAATTAAGACACATTACAATAACTAAATACATAAAACGATAGCACACCATAATCAATAATGCCATGCAAGTTGTATATCAATAAAAAGAAGGTTGCAGAAATAAAGGAGTTGTATTGGCGCAGTGGTTAGAATGCAGTATTGCAGGCTAACTTTGCCCACTGCCAAGAGTTTGATCCTGACCGACTCAAGGTTGATTCAGCCTTCCATCCTTCCAGGACCCAGATTGTCGAGGGGCAATATGCTGATGTTGTAAACCATTCAGAGAGTGCTATAAAGCATTATGGAGCAGTATATAAATCTAAGTGCTATTGCTATTGCTCTAAAACTATATTGATCTCCAAATCTCCTCTGCTAACTTCATGGCAGAAGTTACAATATTAAATACTCATAAAACATTAATCTATTAAAGCACTGCTTTAGAGACCCATCATGGTTCCATGGTTAAGATATTGGACAAGGAATAGGAAACCCAGGCTTTCCTTGGCAGAGTAAACCAGTTGGGTGATGTTCGGCCAGTCATTCTCTCTCAGTGTTAATCATTGTCTAGTTCTATAACAACCTGGCTAAGAAATAAAACTCCATGTTGCAACATGCATTGGTAAATTTTGCTGTAAGAATTAGGCATGTGCAATGGAAAATAAGTAGGCCCTGCAACTAAGCAGGGTTAGGGTTAGGGTTTTTAATTAGCATTTTTAATTATTTTAAACATTAACCACTGGCTCCATCTTGATTACAACATATTCTGAATCCCTTTGATAACATGTATCCCAACATTAGGGAAGACTGATCATTTGGAAGGAGTCCTTTCAGAAGTGTGCTTCACACAGACAATAAAAAAAAAATCTCATACTTAGCTTTTCAGAGTTTACAGTGTCAAATTTAAGCAATGCAAAGACATCTCTGAGTTCAAGAGAGCCCTGAACTCATTCTGACTTCAAGAGAGAATAAAAGACATTGGCACAGTTCAGTCATTGTCAGCAATAAAACAATGTTAAGGGAAGAACAGTGTGAATCCAGTTTTTCATCTCAACCAAATGAACAGGGAAGGAAAATTATGCCAACCGAGTCCCTACATTTTGAATTGCCATGCAAAAGTCATTCCACCTGTAGTGCATGACACAACCAATAGAATCCATCTTAGCATGGCTCCAAGTATTAATAAACAGATTGGCTCTGCACCAGAAAGAAGCCTATATGACTTTCATCACATGAAACATTTTCTCCATTGAACAAAATACTTAAATCTTATCAGACCACCCGGAATCTGTTGTGTTAATAACAAAGATTATTTTTTTCTTTCCTCTATAAAACACGGGCTGCCGTTTTACAATCGAAGTTTTTGCCAAGACATTTTGCTACCCAAGCTCTAATACATTCATGTAGGACCTTAAATTCCTAGAACTTTATTTATTTAATATCATTATTTCCCACCAGGATTCATCTGTATTCAGTGATGCTGATAAAAGCAAGCTCTGACAGATGATAACAAGAAATTCACATATGTGTCAATTTGATGGCTCTTGTTTTTCAGGGTGGGGGGGGAAAGCCTTAATTTTTTTTTCTAGCAGACAACTATCAGTAGTTAAGTTAACATTTCACTATTCAAGTTAATAATTTGATGGTAAGGGGGAGAAAAATGACAGTGAAACCTGGGTGATATTCACTTTCTCACTTCCTACATATATAAAGTTGCACTAAAGAAGCTGATTAGCAAAGATGTTGCTCTGACTTACTACTTTTTTTTACAAACTGTTATAAATAAGTGTGTGTGTGTGTGTGTGTGTGTGTGTGTGTGTGTTTCTATCGAGACACCTGGTCTACTCCAGCATGTGGGGGTAGAGCAAATATAAATTATAGATATAGATATATAGATATAGATATATAGATATAGATATAGATAGATAGATAGATAGACAGATATACAGATAGATAGAGAGATAGAGATAGAGATAGAGATAGAGATAGAGATAGATAGAGATAGAGATAGAGATATATTGATATATATTGCTGATCTCTCTCTCTCTTTCTCTCTCTCTCTCTCTCTCTCTCTCTGTCTCTGTCTCTGTCTCTGTCTCCGTCTCCTTAGTCTCCCAATGGGCAGCAGTGTGCTTGATGGCTGCCTGAAAAAAGCCTAGAAACTAGTGGATTGTGATTTCACTGAACTAGGGCTGCATAAAAATCTTGGTTTATGTAGGAAGAACCTGGCTAAAGAGAAATACACATAAAGGCCTACGAAAAGAAAAGAAAACTGATATATATTGATATATACATACACACACACACACATGTATATATAGAAAGGCCTGCTTGTCTGTTTTATTTATGGTAGGTTCTACTTCCCTGTAATATCAAGTTTATGCTGGGCGTAAATATGCCTTTGTTTTACTTCTCAAGTGAAGCCCTTAAAAGCAAATTCATAGCTGTCAATCCTGTCTTAAACACATGTGACATTATGCGAGTGTTTGCTAAACTCTCAATAGGCTAACATGCAACCAGCAGAGTTAGTCAACTGAAGAATTGTCAGAGAGAATTGCAGCTGAACAAAGGAGACATTCACGCTACATTCTGTAGTGAAACACAGCATTAAAACCAGCTTTGCACAGGGGGAAGGGAATTGGTATTTTTAAGCAGCTGTGTTGACCTCATGTCTTGAAAGGAAGTGCTTACAAAAGAACAGCCCAAAAAAAAAAAAAAGCACCCACTGTTCACAAAGCAAGAAAACAGTTTAGGGTGATGGAGCTTTTCTCTCTCTGTGAAACTATACAAGATTATATGGCTTTCCAATGGCACTCCATTAGGTGGCACTTAGAGCCGGTTCATCTTACAGTAATGAAAAGCTGGTGTAAACAAATGCATCTGACCTACATTTCTTTTGATGGCGAGAAATGGGAAAGATTTCATTTTCCCTTAGCATTTGCTTTGTTGTGTGCATAAACAAATAGCCACAATAGCAGGAAAATATAGAGGAGAAGGCTCTGGTGGATGAATGCTTTCTAAAAACTATTAGCGAAATACCTCTCTTACTGATCAGAACTTCCACATGACATATTCCTATTAGAGATGAGTGTATCATTTACTCTATTGTTCCCTACCCACAATCTATCTCCACCTATTAAAGACACTGATAGCCATTCTCAGTAGCTGCTGAGAACGAGTGAGTATTTCTATCAATGCCATAGTCTAAACTTTTGGAAATACCTTTGTTCCTTCTGGTCCCATTTCCAGAGATGCGGGGGAATTGACAGATATAACACACCTGAAATATTCATTGACAGCTCCTCACTATTTCTGCACTGCAGTATGATCTTCCTTTTCTAACGGCGCCTTAAGGATGCATGGCCAGGAGGTGAAGAAATGTATGTGCTGGTAGTAGATACAAACACTTGTCATTGTTCTTTGTTTTGTTTTGTTCTTGGCTTACCTGGTATTCATTTGGCCAGAAGGTGCTGACAGCCAGCTCTGCCCGTAGCCAGTCTTTGCCAGTGGAGCCAGTCACATTCCAAATGGGGTTTGCCAGAGGACCTTTGTTCACCCTAACCAAGATGTTCAGAGTCCCAGGGCTTGTCCCTTTCTTACTGTACAAAAGGTAGCTGAAATCGATACAGTGGGTATCATTCTCTTTCATGGTAGGAAGCTGAAGCCGAGCTTTTTCTCCGTGGCTGTGGTGTGAAGAATCCACTATCATGTAGGAACCTAACAAGAGAAAAAAAGGAAGACCAACAACAGGTAAATATGGAGATAAAAGTCAATTCATTCAGAAGACAATGGGGATCGATCCCTGCTTTCAAAATAAGGTATGCACACTTATTCCCAACTTTAGAAATAGCTTTTTTTTTTTCAGTTACAGCTGTTTACAGAGCCAAGCAGGTGATTGCGGACAAGCATTCCTGTAGATGTGTCTCTGTGCACTTTTGTGTTCGCAAAAGAACAATTTTCATCCACATTTTGTGTCTCTCTGTGCAGGAAGTCGATTAATTTACAAACGTAAAAATATTTTAGAGTTATTTATTTTTTTTTACTCATTTTAATCAAGAGTCATTATTAAAATTAACAAACTTTTTATCTGGTCATTTTTCAGAACGTGGCCTCTGACTTCCAATTTTGCATTTGTGTATTGTTGGAAGTGGGAAAATAGCAAGAACTGGTTTTAGTGGGAGTTGACAATCTTGGTTGACAATATAAGGAAGCCAGAAGATGTGCTTATCAGTGGTGGGTTGCCCCCGGTTCAGACCGGTTCGCATGAACCGGTAGTAAAACTGGTGGGAGGTTCCGCCCACCATCCCAGGTATTGTCATCGGCAATCTGTGCATGCGCAGAAGCTTCTGCACATGCGCAGAAGGCTAGCGCGTGAGCAATCCCATTGCAAACTGGTAGTAAAGATAAGTAGAACCCACCCCTGGTGCTTATAGACATTGTTCTGCCTCATCTTCCTCCTTTGTGGGGATTCATTTTTAATACGGGACTTTTTTTTCTTTTTTGGATTATCCTTTTTGGATAATGTTTCAGTTGCTCAATTTATACCTTTTTGCTGGGCATTGTTAGGGTTCAATTATTATGAGAGTCTAACATATAAGTGTTCCTGCTGGAACAAACACTTGGTTCATCTAGTTTAACCAACTGCACAAGGGATCCACTAATTTCCCAGCAGAGACAGTCATCCTGCCATCATGGCTACTTTCTTAATAAGCACAATACTGGGGGGAAAACAAAAAAACCCTGACAGGCAGATACATACTTACAAACCACCAGAGGGTTCAATATTTGGAATCCTTTGAAGAAAACATATTAAAGAAAATAGTAAATTGTCAACATCGAAGCTTCCAAAATTATTTATCTACATTTATATGCAATGGAGTTAGTCTGCGTGCTTACTTGCTTTCGGGAGTGATTTCATTAACTACCTTTGAAAATGAACTTGAGGTAATGCAAGTTTGAGAGGTTATTGCTCAACGAAAATAAAAAATAGGTCAGTATTTGACAGAAAATTCAGCATTTATTTTATCTGTGGGTAGATCTTAATCACTGTTCGAAATATTTTACAGACAGAAAAACATCTTAAATTGTGTTACTGGCATGCAATTATCTAAGGAAAAACAAATGAATATGAAGCTATTAAAGTTCACTTGGCTTTTATATTTTGATTAACCACACTGAATGCACTGGAGTTGCAACTTTGAGAAAAGTTTGCACCACTGCACTGGCTGCTGCCCAAGCTAATTTTTACTTGTTTTTTTTTTTAAAAAAATCTGGAGATAATTGGGCACTAGGATATTTACAGCCATCATTACTGGCAATTTCTACACTGATGGATCAGAAATGACTTAATATAGCACATTAGGAGTTTCTAAAGTAAATGCTGTGGGATGCATAGAATTCAAATTGTTATGTTCTCATATTCAAAGTACAGGCAGACACGTAGCCCTAAGCAAAGACTGATGAGATATGTCCTTAAGCACATTTTTACACATCTCCATTTGTGCTTAGATGGCAGTTCCAAAACTGGGATATCAAACTCAATAGAGAACAATATGTGAATTTTGGAAAGAACCTGTGGCTTTTGGCCGATTAGTTGAGAAATTGTAGGCTAGACTGAGAAACCGGGGGGGGGGGGGGGGAGTTCAGAAGTAAACAATAATAAATCACTATTTTACAACACTATTGCCAAAAAAAATCTTTGGAGATGTTTATAAAGACATCAGGACATTCCAGTAAATGTTGCAACCCTTCCCAGATAATACAGAAATAACCACTAACATATGGGTTATTATTAATTGGACGCCAAGGGAGGGGGAGTTTTAAAAAAACCATCAGAAATCCATGTGGCCCAGTTTATTTTATTTGGTTTTGGATTTGATTCACTTCCACTTCATTTCTCGATATAGTTCAAAGTGCTGGCTTTTATCTTCAAAGCCCTAAATGAATTGATGCCAGGATAGCAGAAGATTGCAATCCTTCCAAAATGAGCTCCTTCCTCTGTAGACTATAAAGACAGTTCTGCAAGCATCCTACTATTTTCCAGAATGCAGCTCTTGGATGAGAAATGCCTTTTTTTAAAAAAAGTGACTCTAAAATCATGGAAATTCCCTTTTCCAAGAGGCATGGAATCATCTTTTAAGTTTCTAATAAAAGCTAAGATCTTTACATTCTACTACTTTACATTCTCCATTAATTAATTAATTAATGGAGAAGAGCCTAATGCTGGTAACGATTGAGGGCAAAAGAAGAAGGGGACGACAGAGAATGAGGTGGCTGGATGGAGTCACTGAAGCAGTAGGCATGAGCTTAAATGGACTCCAGAGGATGGTAGAGGACAGGAAGGCCTGAAGGAACATGGTCCATGGGGTCGCAATGAGTCAAACAAAACTTCACAACTAAGTAACTAACTAACTAACTAACTAACTAACTAACTAACTAACTAACTAACAAAGAGTTTAATACTTTCATTCCTCAACTTTGTTCTAACCTGCAGTTACTACCTCATAAGATTTTAATAATTTCAAGTGATGTAATAATAAATGTATTATTTTGTTATTGTATTGTTTGAATCTGAAAAAGATACTGCAATTCACTTTATTTTTATTTGTAAAGCTATAGAAAGTTTCTGCATTTCTTGTCTATTTCAGGGGCCAAAATTATGGATCCATATAGCATTGAAATATAAGATAAGCCATATAGCCTTTTAGTTTAAACTTTTAAATTCTCTTTCCAACAATTAATTATTCCTAAACAAAAATAATGACTCTACAATTGAAAAACACTTTTTAAACCCATGTTATAAAAATATAAACCCATGCATAATGGTCCACACCATGTTATAAAAATGGAAACCCAAGTATTTCCAACCAAAAAGGGCCTGCCAGGCAGCCTAATCCAAGGCCTGAGAGGAGACTCATATGTTCAGAGTTCACTTTAAGTAGATCAAAGCAGCCAAACAAAAAATCCTCAGGGCAGGGCTGGTTCCTGGTCCTGCTAAATGGCATTGTTTAATTGGCTGGACCTAGAACAAGATTTTGGCTGGACCTAAAGCGAAAGATTGTCTCTCACGTAGTTAGGTGTTTCAACACTGTTACCCAGCACAGTTCATGCAACAGAGGTGTCCAAAAATCAGGAAAATCTCATTTCAAAAGACCACTTGCAAGGTGATTGAGGCATGAATGACTATAAGGAAGGCTTCTTAGTTCTCTTAGTCGAGAAAGAGGCATAACAGCTGCCACCTGCTCCTTAAGCAGGAGGTGCCAATTCAAGAATTGCCTGGCAAAGGATGAAAAGATGCAACTGAGAATCAGCCACATACTGATAAACCTTTACAGTGATGAGTTCCTTTACTAGAAAAAAATACACAAAATTATAAGGAAAGAACAAACAAAATGTATTGAACATATATTTTCTTTCTATGATAAGGTGGGCCAGGGACATAGGGCACAACATTCAATTGGCAAACTGGGAGAAATTGTGGAAACAGTACATCAAAATGACAAGAGCCATACCCTACAAAGAAAACCTCATAAAAATGTTTTACAGATGGCACTTAGCACCAGCCAGATTAGCCAAAATATACCCGAACGCCTCCCCACACGGTTGGAAGTGCAAAACAAAAAAGGGGACATACTACCATGCCTGGTGGAAATGTACAAAGGCCCAACAATACCGGAAGGACATAAAGGAAATTATTGAAGAAATAATAAATCAACAAGTAGAAAACACTCCAGAATTTTTTTTATTCGGAATGATAACAACACAACACAACAAAGAGACAAAATACCTCATCATACACATTTTGACAGCAGCACAGTTACTGTTCGCGCAAAATTGGAAATCAGACCAACTCCCAACCAAAGACAAACTAATCTCAAAGATAACAGAGTGTGCCGAAATGGATAGACTGACACTAGAACTCCAGGATAAAGAAGAAAGTGAATTCTATCTTGTGTGGCACCAGTGGTATCAATGGCTGGAAAAGAAAATCAGTACAAATATAGATGAAAGAGAATAGGGTAGGAAAATTAAAACCGGAAATGAATAAAGAGGAGATGCAAGATTATTTCTAATTTAAAACACCTGAATTGACAATGTATCATTTATATATTAACTTATAAAGCAATATATATTCTGATGATGATCACAACATATATGTAAAGTATGGTGCGGGTAGGTTGGTGGTGGGAATTTGTTTGTCTTTGTAATGTCTTTGTATTTTTTGTATTGTCTTTATATTTTTGTTTAAAATTCAATAAAAAAAAGAACATATATTTTCTTTCATATTCACACAAACACTCTCTCTCTCTCTCTCTCTCTCTCTCTCACACACACACACACACACACACACACACACAGTGCAATAAACATTTCAAGGAATGGAAGCCACAATTCATTACAATCACCCACTGCTAACCTTATTGATAAATCATTGGTTCATAAATTGCTGATGACATAATTCTACATCCCACTGGCTAATTGGGCCACTCCAGAGTCCATTGGCCCTCGGTCACCAATAAATGTAAATAAATAAGTTTATTCTCCAATGCTGAACAATACAAAAGTCCAACAGGTTGTGATATCTATCCATCCCCAGCAAGGGAAGGGCAACTGAAAAAGGGCCATTGGTTGGTTACCAGGAGACATAGTAAGAGCAAAGAAGTAAATCTGTTTCACTGCTCTTACTCCACAGCGTAATTTGTAATGTGGGTTTGGAA